CCGAAAATCTCGGCCTTGTTGTTGCTTGGTTATCTCGCTAGCGCGTGGTCCCCACACGCTACCACCATGCAACACCCTCACTAAGTATAAAACCCTAGTTTAATTTTGGGCTGGATCAGGCCCCTTACCGGGCCTGCTTTGCTGGGTCATATTGGTTGCCCCAGTTTGACTCCCTTGCTGGGCTCGAATGGACTTTTGGACCTGAAAAAAACCGAAAAAAGTTAATAATAATAAAATAAAAATGAATAATATGAATTAAACTATATAATGTTATGTTTTCAAAAAAATATGTTTTCAAAAACGTTTATATATGTTTTCAAAAATTGTTTTCGAAATTATATAATATATGTTTTCAAAAGTTGTTTTTCAAAAATATGTATTTCCAATTTTTTTTTTTTGAAATTATATAATAAATGTTTTCAAAATTTTGTTTTTAAAAATATATATTATACGTTTTCAAAAATTGTTTTTGAAAACTATATATATGTTTTCAAAAACTATTTTTAAAACTATATAATATATGTTTTCAAAATATTATTTTTAAAAATATATATATGTTTTTAAACATATTTTCAAAATCATATTATATTTTCAAAAAAATGATTTTTAAAATTAAAAACGTTTAAATTATGTGTTTTCAAAAATATTTTAAAAAACTACATTATATTATTATATATAAACACCGGACGAAAATGAGTGACTACATCCCCTAACTTGTTTCTAAATATTTTACATAGAGAGATTTTTGAACTATGATTCGTAATTTAGATTTATCTATGAATTTCAGAAATAAAAAAAATAATATAAGTTTTGCATCTAAATCAAGATTATCCAAAATACATTGAATTGATCTCTAAACTTAGTATTTTAACTCTGATATTAAATAGATAAATAATTTTTGGGACAAAAATAAATATAAAATTTTAATAATAAATAATAGTTGATGAGCAAATTTTACTCTAATTGTCAAATTAAAACAAACACCATATTCAAATGTCTTTATCTACGCTTTGTGCAAATTAATATTTTATCACCTATATTCCTTCATTGAACATTTTTCCAACAATATAAGAAGAACACATATTAATAAGATTAAAACTATAAAAGAAAAGGCTAAAGTACAAAAATAGTCCATTGACTATAGGAAATTATTTTGTTGAGTCATCTAATTATTAAAAGTTACAAAATGATCACCTAATTATTCATAAGTTTCGAACTCGTCCTTTTTATGTTAAAAATTAACGATTGTATGAGTTGATATTAACATATTGAATGAGATACAATAAAATTATATTTTAATGATGTCTATTAGCACTGTCGTTGCTTTCAAGCATTGACTCGATGACATAATGTTTCAAGCACTAACTCAATTGTGTAATATAAATAGAGAGTCGATCCATAAATTACATCTCAAAAGGTTATGGATAAAATTTTATGATATCTCAGTTAACAAATTAAAGTTAAACTCAGACATATACAAATTTTTTAATAAAAAAAGACGAGCTTGAAACATATAAATAGTCGAATGCTTATTTTGTACTTTTAATAAAAAATATAATAAAATAATATCTTATAATTTAAAAATCATTTTATACCTTTTAATATGAGATAGTACCTTGTGTACTTTATCCAAAAGAAAATTCCACCGCATAAAAAGAGATGATAGGGTTTGCCTTCGCGCCCCGTTCCCAACTGCCCAGTTCAAAATTTCAGCAGGAAAGAGTCAAGTCTCTCCATCACCATGGGTCGCATGCACAGCCGCGGGTACCCCTCTCTATCCCTCCCTCCATACTCATATATCTACGTACACTTATTATCATTTTCTTTTCTTCCACTTTATTGCAGTAAGGGTATATCTGCCTCAGCTCTGCCGTATAAGAGAACTCCACCAAGCTGGCTCAAGATCTCCTCTCAAGATGTGAGTCCTTTAATCCCCTTTTTTCCATATTCATTGTCGACAGAAATCCCCATGAATTTTTTTTTAAATTATTCGATGTTGAATCTGTTTAGGTCGAAGAGAACATTTGCAAGTTTGCAAAGAAGGGCCTGACCCCATCTCAGATTGGTGTCATCCTTCGTGATTCCCATGGTATCGCCCAGGTTAAGAGCGTTACTGGAAGCAAGATCTTGCGTATCCTCAAGGCTCACGGTAAATTGTAGCACAATGTTTTGATTTTATAAATTCTAATTAGCATAATGATTTAGCTGTAAAATATTCATTAGGGTGATAACCAGGGACTGAGCCAGTATTAGACAATGGTAGGAGCTACATTTAGATGGAATTTGGGAGGGTCAGCATTTCAACTCACACGGACTAAAATAGCCATTAGACAAAATTTCGGGGGGATGTGCCCCTCCCTTGTCCTTAATAGCCATTTGATTTGAATCGTTTTAGGAAAAAAATGTGCATTACGTACAAACTGAACCAAAAACAGAATTGAAACTGAGCCGAACACCACGGTCTGCATCGGTTATCCTAAGACAGCATATTTGTGGGGTTATATTTGATGTGTTGTTTTGTATTGTTACAATAGGTCTGGCTCCTGAAATTCCTGAGGATTTGTACCACCTTATCAAGAAGGCTGTTGCCATCCGCAAACATTTGGAGAGAAACAGGAAGGACAAGGATTCCAAATTCAGGTTGATCCTTGTAGAGAGCAGGATTCACAGACTCGCTCGCTACTACAAGAAAACAAAGAAGCTTCCTCCTGTCTGGAAATAGTAAGTCTACCTATTGGATCATAGGTTTGTACTTGTGGTTCTTACTAACTTACTGGTGGGTGGTATATTGATTTGTAATTCCATTACATGCTATGGTCTGAATATAGTTTACATATCGGTGAACTTATATGCATTTGGGTTGTTCCTTAATGCATGTTCTGTTCGTCTTGATTTGCGAGTAAGTGCACTGTGATGGAATTAAGTTATCGCCATACTTGCATGACCTTGGTCTTATATTGTGATTTTCAATGAAGTGAATATCTGGTCCACTTTAGTTCTCTGTAATACTTGATGGGTTTATCATAGGTTACTCGAATCTATTTCGAAGGTTGGAGTTCAAGGGAGTTGTTAGAATGCAATCGTAAGTTTCATTTAGTAAACAATATTGTTTAAGCCGACTTGTTTCTAAATATGCAAGTCTCAGTATTAGTTCATGTTGAAAACTTATTCAGCAGAGAAATACACATTCTAGTTTAGTTTCCGCGTGATCGAACTACTTTAATTTGTATGTGTATGGTTCTTTTTTTTTCTGCATTATGTTGCAATGCTGATACAATAACTCGTTGGTTTGCAGTGAGTCTACAACTGCCAGCACTCTTGTTGCTTAGATTCGGCATGCGGGTAGTGCAATTTCGGGCATCTTCGTGGTTCAATGTCGATGCTCGCTGAGTTAGATTGCGTTTTCCTTTCCTGGTTAGATATGTCTTGATGTAAGACTACTAATAGATGTTAAAAGTTTTGATGTCTGAAAAGAGAGTTAAAGAACTCATTTTTTTAGTTTGATTGGATTCTACTCTTTTTTGCTCTTGTTTCTTGCATTTAATTAAACGGTTGGAGTAAGAATTAATCTCAAACGCATTAGATTCCTATGTTCTAGCAAACACGAACCTTGAATTAAAGTATTAAACTATTCATTAATCGACTAATCTGATCTAGTACTGTTTATATCTATTATTTAATTGATATTTCTAGTACAATTTATTTTATTCATAATGTTTAAAAAATTATAAATAATCGTAGAAGAGGGTTAATACGTGTTGCAAGTACCAGTTTTTTATTTTTATTTTTCTAAAAAAAATATTTTGTTTTTATTTATGAATGATTACTTTTAGCAATTTAAACGTTGTAACTAAGATTTTGTACATACATTTTAGCAAATATGTACTTGATCTTTGATTATATCTGTCTTAATTTCTTAATTATTTTATTTAAAGATTATATAAAATATGAAAAGATAAATGTATTTCTTAAATAATATTAGGTATCATCTTGAAGAAAATTATTATTATTTAATTAAATTGATACCTCTATTTTAATTTTTCAAAAAATGTGATCTTTTAGTTACCAAAATGGAGACATTAGTTATCTTGTTACTTGTTAGTAAACAATTGTATTTGAACTACTGGTTTTTCTTTGTTTCGTATAAATAATTAAATTTGTTTATTTTAATTAATTTCTTTTCAATAGATTATTGTAACGTTGATTTTCCAGTCGATGATTTAACAGCAAGGCTTAGCACACTAATATTCAAGACTAATTTTTTAACTTTTATACTTTTTTTTAAAAAAATCACTAACTTTATTCAAAATAAGAAACATCTTAAATTATAATAAAATTTTACAATCATAATCGTAAATTAAGCACATAATTAAAATAATTTCCTATAATCATTGAAACAAAACTAACAACTGAAAAGATTAAAATCTAACCAAAAAAACTCGAACAAATATAGATACAAATAGATCTGATCGCATCGGCAAACGAACCGTAAAAGGAGATAAAGCTACTGAAATACCACCGAAAAATCACAAATCAAACTCGAGCGACGTGAAAAGATATCCAAGAACGCATAACGGGTATCCAAATCTAATTTTAGGGTCTAAAGCAGGGAAGATCAATAATATATCAGATAAACGTCATATTAATCAATCATATCGATGTCTAATCAACCCTTAAAAAAATATAAATGAAAAAAAGTCAAACAAACGAAAATTGTGTCAAAAGACAGAGGAAAACGTGTCATACATGCATACTTATTAAAAATAAAAAAAATAAGAGAAAATAAAAAGACAATAAACAATACAAAAGATAAACGACTTATCAACGAGAGAAAACTAGGAGAGAAAACTAACTTTTATAAAATTAAAGTATCAAATTCAGATAAATTAAAATAAAAGGATTAACTTTTTAATTCGATAGAAATCGTCTTATATTTTGGGCCCAGAATCGATGGATACAAGCGCAACGGTGTAATCCAATTAATTTTTTTAACATCAACGACCAATGCTAGACCGATAATCATTACCGTTTCAGTTGCTCTACGCTAAACTTGAAAACCCTAGAAAAACCCACATCAAGCCAAAGCAAAAGCAGTGATAATGGCGGTAGGGCTTAGGCAGTTCACGGCGAGAAGCGGAAACGGCGCTGGAGAGCCAGTTCTGGGCACGGATAACGGCGAGGAGCTTGTTCACGTCCAACCTTCCGTCTCCGTTGCACTCGGAAATCGTGCCCCCGAATCCCCGGGCACTCTCTACATCACTACCAGGTACCTTCAAATTGACCTTCAATTACTCAAAATTATTGCTTGTGAGCATATTCATTTCAATTACATTTTGAACTTGCAATTTGTGATTTTTCTGGAAGGCAAGTTGTTTGGCTGAGTGATGTGGACAGAACCAAGGGCTACGCTGTTGATTTCTTGTCTCTTTCTTTGCACGCCGTTTCAAGGGACCCCGAGGCCTACTCTTCTCCCTGTATTTACACTCAGGTCTGCCCAGAAAACTAACACCTCTTTGTTATCCTTAAGTTTTTCGATCTTTGTGATTATTTTAGCTGTTAATCATGCTCATGGATTCAGTAGCTTGATTTTTGTGAAGTGTGACTGTTTGGTAGCTTGGGTGCGAGTTAAATTTGGTTGATTACTGGGATGAAAGGAAAATAGAGGTATTGAAGTCAATGGGGGCTAGCTGCCAGCTTAATATTGTTTGAAAAAAAATGGTCTTATTAAAATTTGGGGTTGAAACAAATTAAATTCTGTCTATCATAGTTTTTGCTGCTCATTAAGCGCTTGTAGTACATGTTTTTCTCATTTACTAAGAGACCTCTATTTTTCCTTTCCATCCATTTTTGAAGCTGCTGATGCCATGTTTTTATAGGTCTTTTATTAGCATGCTCTTTATACATCGTCTGATTAATGCCTTTTTGTCTGAAGATTGAAACTGAAGATAATGAAGTGGAAGATGAGACCGACGACTCGGATTCAGAATGCAGTGAGGTTTTAGATTTATCCAAGATCAGAGAGATGAGGCTTAGTCCTTCAGATGCTAGCCAATGTGTGTATTATTCAGTAATTTCCTCTTAATTAGTTCTTAGATGATTATTTCTGTCTTCAGTGATAATAAATGCCGACTCATTTATCTATTTTTCTGTAAAAAGTGGATACTATGTTCCAAGTATTCTGCGAGTGTGCTGAACTGAATCCGGAGCCTATTGTAGGTGAGTTCCAGTTATTAATTTGAAAATCCATTTTCTGTTGTACGGGCAGTTTTCTTCTGCTGACTGAATGGCGGTGTACTGTTTTTTGTTTATTCCTTATTTAGAAGAAGACGAAGGACATAATTGGATTTTCAGTGCTGATCAGTTGGAAGATGGAGCTGGAGGTATGGAATAGATACATGGATACTTTCTTGAATGCGTCTCAATGGTTTCCTTAATATGCTCGCATGTTCTGTAAATCCCTAATCACATACTGTATCTCCAGAGAGCGACGATGTGGAATGGAATTTCTCTCAGAATCCGACAAACACAATCGGTCGTTCTAATGGTCATCATGACCTATCCCGCAATGTGCTTGAGGTATGCTAGTTAGTTGCTGTTCACTCTACATGATCAATGGTAATGCTTTGAATTTGATTAAATGGAACTTTTGGAACGGAAAGCTTTGTTGTGTAGATGTCTTGTTTTCATGTTAACATTCCATGTACACGTCTCCGGTTCAACTCTTGCATACATTCCTACGTTCCTTAGTTGCTTCTTGGGTTGACTCATTCAATCCCATTTCTGCAAAAACAAAACTTGCAGCTTCAAATCAATGATCAACGATTTGAGGATGCCGACGAGATGGAAGAAGTAACTGATAGCGGACATCAGTAAATTTGGAGTGTAATGCCAAATGGTACCTATACGGATTATAGATTTTATTTGATAAATGCGAAGAGATTAAATTTTATTTTATCAATTATTGAAATTTTAAATCTGTATTTCGTTTGATTAATCCTTTCCATCTTGGAATTATTTTATAAAAGAAACTGGCATAATTTCAACTAGTATATCGTACTAGTGGTAAATAGTTTTGTTCGTGAAATCATGTGCTTGTGTCACGGGAACATCATCTTATATTTAAAAGATAGATAGAATGTGTAGTATTATAATTTTTAAATTTTAAGATTTTTTTTTTGTGTTTTCGCTATAAGATTGATATCTTACCTAAGAATACTTAATGAAAAGAAATAGTAAATCCCTACCATAATTGAGATTAGAGATTTTTAGTCAAATTACCATGAATTAATTAACAATAAATAGTTCTCCCCATATCATTTCCAATCACTTTAACAACATCATTTTCACACAAAAAGAGGAGGAAAAAAGTGGTAATTTCTGTTTCTGATCATTTTGTCAAGCTAATTATGTGAACCACAAGACCTGTGTTGTGTCTCCAACACTAAATGCAAAATCATATCTTAATCTGTGGGTTCTTTCGGTTCTTTATTTCCATTCACAATCATTGTTTCTCCCCCATCATTCCACCTCAACATGCATCATTTTTAGGGCAAGCTTTTTGTTAAATCATGTTACAACAATTTTAGGCTTTTTTTTCCTTTAAAAAAACATATTTGAATCATTACTAATGTAGCTTTAATTTCAAGGGGAAAAAACATAGTAAAATGTGCTTGTGGACGTCGAATAACATATCCATGTCTTTTTCATTCTTGTGAAAGTGAGGAATTCTCTTAATTTGTGGGGTGTTATAGGATCATATACAGGGATCGATCGAGTTCGAAAATGTAGTAGGTGGGGTTGTTGTCCCTTTAAAAATTTAAATTCTTTTTATATTTTAATTTTTTTTGTATTTTCTATTAGTAATTTATTTTTATTTTTTAAAATTTTATATGTTCGTCCCTTCCTGCCTAAATTGATTATATTAGTGAATAAAGTGGTATTTTAATTATATTAGTGAGATAAATATATATATATATATATATATTCAATATTATATTCAATGAGATTACTCAAGTGTATATGGGCAATGGAGTGAAAGTGGCTAAATTGATTGCATGCCTAGCTATTCATATATGTGAGATTTAATTCATACTTAATATTCTCCACCTTACTGCCTGCCTTCTTTAATTATATATCGGCCTTAACATACTGCACATAATGAATGCACATATGCATGCACCTTCATACATATCATCACTTCCTTATTAGGAGAAGGAATAAATTTTTCAACTGTCAGTTTAAATTAAAAATACAATACATACATATATATATATATATATATGTATAAACAAAAAGATGAAACAATTTAATAACAACTTCTCATCAAGATTCGAACGTTTATCCTTAAAAAAACACACACACATACCTAAAACGACTTTAAAAATAAACTCTCGATGAAGAATAAACGGATCAATCCGAAAATATAGTAACAAAAAATATATACAAATATTGAGAATTTTAAATTTAATTAAGTCTTAAGTTATAAAATAGAATATTATTGTTTCTAAAGAACATATATTCGAGCAATTATATTTTCAGAGTATGTATAATATTAATAGACTTAAAAAATCTAAAATTATTTTATAATCATTTTAAATAATTAAATAATAATAATTAAAGCGTAATACTGTGAAAAATGAAAATATCAAACATCGCTTTCTATGCCTTGTTTTCATTATTATTATTTCTTTTATACTGTGGATTACAGCTTAAAGGGAAAGGTCCGTAGATTTTTCCCACCTACTACATAGACATTTCCCTCTACACAGTCAACACTACTTTGCTTTGTTAATTTAAATATTTTATGCATAAAAAATAAGGAAAAAGGAGCCCTCCTAGTATTAATCTCTTATGTGGTTATATATACACGGAAAAAATTAGTATTAGTAATTAATAATGGTTCACACGAACTTGACGAAAGCCGTTTAATATCATTTTATAGAATTCGAAGAAGAATAGAATAATACAGTACGAGTTGATTATAAATTATTATTTATTTTAAAAAATTAGTTTATTAATAACACATATATTTTGTAAATGTAGTTCTTAGAACTCAAGTTTTTTTTAATATTTTATTTTATCAATAAAATTATTTAATAAGTTTTTTTAATAATATGAGATGATTATAAGGTAATATATGTTTAAAATTTTCTTAATCAATTAACAACGCACATATATCCTAACTGTTTGAACTTAAAAAGTTATTTTATTACTTTTTTTATGCAAGTTTTTTAAATATACATCTTATTAAAGAAGTTAATAGTTGAGTGATGATAAACTTTTTAGTACGTACATTATTAATGGCGTATTAAGCATGCAGGAAACAAATATCGATATGAGAAAATAGGCTGGTCATTATCTTCCTTGGTAACTTGATGATTGTCGTCCTTGATTCTTTAACTAGAATCCACTAAATTTCAGAGGAAAAAAATTCATCTACAATCTAAATACTGTGTATAAAAGTACTTCAATTATGTGGACAGAAAGGAATTAAAAAAAAAAGGGTAGCTGGCAGATACAAATAGCTAAACAAGTACTCAGCTTAGGGTTTATAAATCATTCTCTCAATTAAAATGCCATCAAAATATGAACTGTCCACGAAAATGAAGCTACGCAAAACAAAACATTATGTATAAATGGGTAAAATATATCATAGGCTATTCAATTATATCCAATCGGACATTTTAGACATAAAACTATTAAAAATTACAAAATAATCATTATACTGTTACAATAATAATAAAATTTTGATAATTGTTTTGTAACAATTTGATAAAATTTAATGGTTATTTTATAATATTTTAATAAATTCAATGATTGTTTAGTAATTTTTAAAAGTTCAATTATCAAAATGATCATTTGAATATAGTCGAGTGACTTATGATATATTTTTATCTTATATAAATTTTTAGGTTTAATTATAATTCCATCCATTTACTTTAAAAAAGCTATGAATTAAAAATATATATGAAATGTGTTAGATAATTATTTTATTATGTTTATAATGTATATATATATATATGATTTTTATTATATTTTAAATTAAAAATATATATGAATTATGCTAGATGATTTTTTTTTATATTTATATTGATCCAACCTATAATTTTTTTTCTAAATTTTTCAATGAGATTAAAGTTTAAATTCTGATATTGTGGATGAAATAAAATAGATTGAGATAGATGTTTCGTGATAGTCTAATATACTACTTTGTTTGAATTAGTTAAATAAAAGGAAAAAATTTCTTGAACAAATAACATTGGCCGTGTTTTGCACGCGCTACGTCGGATCGTATGTTTCTAAAAGAGAGGCTGATAGGAGAGCATGTAAGCCAACAGCCCGCCAAACACCCCAAGTTTAGGCGCCGCTGTCCGCCGAAAAAGTGAGATTATAATATAAATAAAAACGCGCGTGAGATATATTGGGTCGGGCGCACGCGTGAAAAGGGGAGGTGAAATGAAATTCGAAACAAAGCAAAAGTTGAAGGTCCACGGAAGTAGCTTGATTGCTTTCAGTGGGGTCCGTAGCAAATAAAAAAGGAATCGCTCTCAATCTGAGCTGCGCGATGGCTACCGGCTGGCTCGCCTGTCATCATTTAGAACCGCGCAAATTACTCCCTCGTTCCCCTACCTATCCACCTTTTCTTCAATCCACTCTCCACTTGTGTTTTGACCTTTTTCATTTCCGATTTATAAAATTATTTATTAATTTAAAACATATACAATTTCATATATTTAAATTGAAATTATTTTAATTGAGTAAAAAAAGCACTCCTCCAACTTTGTTCTAATCCCTAAATCTATTCCATTATTTACTCGTAAAAAATATTTTAATATACAGTTTATTATTAAATTATTTTGTCAACTTAATGCTCGTGCAAGGGTCAAAATAGAATAATTAACGCTACGCAGATACAAACCCAACATCTATATTCATATGGCTTAAATGCTACAACCTTAACAACTTCGTATTGAAATCATTTGGTCTCTAATAATAATAAAAACACTTCAACGGTATTTAGGCATAAATAGTAAAAGACCCTCAAAATTAATATTTTTTTAAACAAGTCCATAACAATGTTCAATTAAATCGATTGAGTTGTTTTCCATCACATCCTTAATGATCCGTTGATATTACATAATTTGTGACAGATGATATGAAAAATTATGGCATACGAGGAGATTAATTGGATAATGTTTATAAATTAGAGGTTTAGTTCATTTTTTAATATTTAACAAGGTCTTTTAATTTAAAAAAAGGAATATTGAACTCCTCACCACTCTTGAACCAATCAAATAAACTCGTTAATATAAGAAAATATTATTCTCTATAAATTTTGATTTAAACAATTGTATTTATAGAATATTTATATATTATCAATTACTTAAAAATTTTATAAATTAATAATATCTTATAATTGAAGAGAGAAAAAATATCACCGTTCCTGAACAAGATTCGATTATATATTAGAATACTTGCTTAAACAACTAGTCGTGGAGGGGTCGGGTTGTTAAAAAAGGGAGACCCATGATCCATGAAACATCCTAGCTAGAAGTGATAGGATTGGACTAATTTATAGGTATCTAATACCTATGACTATGACCCTTGTATTAATTCCCCCTTTATTTTCTTTAACAAAAATACAAAAATGTTTACACTTTTGCTTGTCATCCCCCCCCCTCAACGTGGGCCATCCAAGTTGAGGTGAAAATTGAATAGTTTTACTCGAAATTTAGTCGAGTTAATTTGATTACAAATATATATTTAATTCATGTTTAATTTAAGTTGGGTTAGATTTTATTTGAATTTAGTTTGGATCTATAAGATGAGTTGAGTTTCATATTAATAATTTTGGTTAATATCGAATCAAGTCTATATCAGATCATGTTAATCTTTAAATTATTTTGA